TGAATGCCACTTTAAGGGAATTCCAACTTGGGGCTGGAAACAGAAATTACTCTGAAATCACTCTGCTCCTAGTGTTGGCCAACTGAGTCTCCTCATAAAGCAGAATCCATTAAGGACTCATTAGAAGGGCTTAAGTATCAGGAAGATTCATATGAGATGGGGGATGTTTCCTGAGATAATTTGGATTCAGGCAATATGGGAAGAGAATCAGAATTTAATTGGACCAGGAAATAAACTGTGGGAAAGCCAGATGATGAGTTGGGATCATACTCAATTATTCATAGTCCAGTCCCACTAAAATAATTGCAAATTAGCCATGATTTCAGCGTGGGGAACATGTGGTATTCCAACTATTGTTGGACTTCCAGTGACCCTTACTGAGGGATGGTGGGGGCTGTAGTCCACCAGAATCTGAAGGTCCATATCATCTCCATCCCTGGACTAGTGATAATCTTAACCTGAATCCAAAACAGTTAATCAGTGATTGGCCATTTTAATGCATGTCATCCTAACCTTTTTGTTCTGATGGGTAGTGTAGTGTGGTGTGGTGGTTAGCGTGTTGGACTGGGAACCCAGGAGATCCACTTTCTAGCTCCTATTCAGCAGCAGCTATCCATTACCTCAGGATAGGTATTTTCAGCCTAGCCTACCTCACAGGGTTGTTGTGATGATAAAGTGGAGGAGCCCTCTATAATTTGTCTTTGGTTACTCCCAAGAAGGAAAAAAGGTGGGATAGAAATGCAGTATAATTAAATGTAATTATTAAAGTGTCACAGAGAAGTGTTCAGCTCATACCAACAGACCTATAAGGGCGTTGAACATACTTTATTTTTAAACTTCTTTTGCTCTTCCATGATGCTTTAATAGTCATTTGAGAAACACAGAAATGTAATCTTGTAGCTTTTATGTTGAAGTTCTTATACTTAAGAGAAATGGCTTCCTCCAAATACGTCTACGAAGTGTTTGCAATAAAGTAACTGATTTATGTGTGATAAATGTATACTTTAAAGACTATTTGAATAGTATGATTAGTTGGCCCCATAAAATATATTTGATTATTCATCATATTTATATACCATACTTTTTCCTGCAAAGAACCCAAAGCTGCCTTAATAATGGTCCCTCCTCCCCTGTATTTTACCTTTACAACAGCCCTGTAAAGTATGTTAGGCTAACAGTGAATGACTGGTCCAAAGTCTCATGACTGAGTGAGCTCTAGAACCCAAGTCTTCTGCATCTCAGTCCAGTACTCTAACCACTAGAGTACTCTAGTACTCTTACCAGTCTGGTACTCTAACTCTAACCACACTGGCTCCATTGTTAATTGTGGTAACTGATAAAATAATAAACTGTTAGCTGCATGTAAATACAGTGTGGCAAAATGCAATCCAGTCATGATTTGAGAAGTTGTATCTGCTTAGTTTTACTAGCAAACATAAGCGGAAGCTCATCCTATTTGCCTAATTAATTTTGCTCTTGAAAAGAATTGAGTGTCTTTATATTTAACCTCATTTGTTTACTGTCTGCAAACTTGCTTTTATTGGCTTTATTGTTTTCAGGTGCTGTCTTTTATCCTCAAAACATGACACTGGGCAGGCATCACACTTTGCTCAACATTGCTTGTCATGATGAAACTTACAACTTAACATTTGAACCTAGGAGTCTCATGGTAAAACTCACCCCACTAGCCATTATGCCTTACTGGTTCTTAATGGTATGCTTTTAGCTAGTTTCTGTCTCTTTTCTGATAGACAAAGCACTGCAAATGGGGAAGACCTGGATTCAGTTAGATAATGACTTCTCTTTATTCTTGCTTTTATTTCAAATCTCATTTGAGCCAAGGGCTAATTACTGTTCTTACTGTTCAGTCTTGCCTCTCCAATATGGCTAATACTCGCCTTGTTAAGCTTTTATTTTTTAGAGGAAGGTATATGAAGTACATAAGAACAAGTACGAAGTGTTTTGTCAGAGGCTGAGGAAGGTATTTCAGTTAAGCAAATTAATCTGATCAATTCTGAATTCTGACCCCATAAAAATGCCAGTGCTGAAGGACATAAACATATTTTCAGTGTAATCTTTCTGAGCAGATGACTGATCCACAAAAGCTATACTACTTCAGATCAATTAGCAGAGGATTAGAGGATCATCTCTTGAGTATCTAAATAAGCACAGTAAATGTCCTTAATTCAAGGTAGCAGAGAGATACAATATTTTGAAGGGAAAGAAACAAAATACTGTGGTACCTTAGCTTGACTTTAAGGAATTTTTAAGGTCAGTTCTGTGAGGGACTGGAGTGCCATCCCCATGAGGAAAACCTAGGGTATGTTTTTAGTGCAGGTAAACTGATACGCAGTGGAAACTTCCCCATACAGGAAAATAGCCTTCACCATGTCTCTTCCTGCAAAAGGTCTTGCTAGTTTTTAAAACATCATAAACGCTTAAAAGTAATATATTGTTCATGATAGTGCAATATATCCTTGATTTTGGAGATTCTACTGCATCCTTTCTCTGCGGTGCTCTTCAGATGTTTTGAACCACAATTTCCGCAACTCCAGGTATAGTGACCAGTGGTCAGCAGTGCTGCACATTTTACTCCAGAACATTTGGAGAGCGCCCGGTTGTGGAAGCCTGCTCTGTTAACTTAAATAGAACTGATGCGCCAAAGGGTGCTACCAAGTGGGTATCCTGACACTCGCTATCGGATAGTATCGTGCAGCAATTCTGTCTTTCGTAAAGGGAAGGATGGAAAAAGTAAGGAAGGAAACACAGGGGAGTCCTGCACAGAAGACAGTATCTGGAATCTGCATAAAAAATTGTGAACAAACCAAAGCAATGGTGCTATAATAGCCTTATGTGGCTATGGGGCAGTAGATAAATGTAAGTTTTTTCTAATGTAAATTTTGTAAACAAAATATGTAGAAGTGCTGAAAGCCCAGGTAATCTTCCAAAGTTTAAAAAATGTTGTGTTTTTTTTTTTGTCTTGTCTCAAGGAGGAACTAGAAATAGGCTCCCACCAAAACCAGAAGCCTCGAGTTGTTTCTCTTTGCAACTCCCAATAATACAAAATCTGTGCTGAGACATCATTCCATGGCAAGTTTCCCCCTGCACACTTTCTTAGCCACTGCTTATGATTTGTAGTGAAATGTGTCAGTCACTTAACTACACATTATGCAGGGCTTTAGGTTCATGTCTCCTGTAATGTCAAGTTCTGGCCTTCATGTTCAATGAAAACTGATTTTTTTCTCTTAGGTTACTTTTTAAAGTTTCCCCTTTTTTGCTCAATATGTTATTGGGTAGGCACAACACCTTGCCAATATTACTTTGCCATGGTGAAACTTAGAAGCTAGAAATTTGAACCTAGGAGTCTCATGCTAAGCCCAACCTACTAAAGCCAACTGAAAAACAATGTTCTTTCCTGTGAAGAAATGCAATGTCCCATATGTCAGCAGTAGGCAAATGTTTACAAACAGGAAGCCAAATCTTAACATACTTGGAGGAATGCCACTAATGTACGTGTGTGAGCGCGGGTTTGTGCATTAAAGACAGAAATTGGGGTGGTGGAATGAAAGGCCAGGAGAATATTTGTTTAACTTGATGTTCAGTCAAGCAGCACATTTTAGGGACTTTCATTGGTTGGCTACTTAAAGAAATGTCCCCCAAGTGTGTGCAAGTTTTTCATAAATTTTGTTATCATCTGACTTGTGTAAGTGCAGATATACACAATTCTGTGAGTCCAAAACAAGAAGGCCTTGCCTGGGCGATGTCCTGGTGGGTACCTGCTATCAAAGTACAGTAGATACCAGCCCTGGACATTGACCCAGAGAGACTTCATATATATGATTGTGTGTGTGTGTGTGTGTGTGTGTGTGTGTGTGTGTGTGTGTGTGTGTTTTGCTTTGCTTTCCCCTGGCAGCTGTCAAAAGGAGACCTGTCAAGTCAAAAAGCCATGAGTGATTGTTGTTTGCAAAAGAGGGTAGGTGACATTTTTCCTCCTTCAGAATGAGATGTTCAGGATTTTGGTTGTCCTATCCCATAGGTCCCAGTGGCCCCTTCATTTCCACCCATTTCCTAGAGTCTTTGTGCTTAGAAATGTGGAAAAGACTACCTCCTTTTTCTCTGACAGTCGCTTTTGAGATCTATTAAAAGTAGGGCTTCTCTTGAAAACAAGAATCTATGTCGGGCTAAACAGTAGTTTGACAAGGAATTAGACTGATGCAGTGCTGGGGAGAGAAGCTACCAAGTCCCTGGGGATACAGGGTGGAAGACTAAGGAAGGAAGAGGGGAACAACCTACGGTGAGCTCAGTCATCTGTCAGGTACCCTGTGGCTTATTGCCAGGGTAGGTCAGCATGACATGTAAACCACTCAGTATGAGCTCTATGATTCAGTTTTCAGGTTAACAAACCCTTAGATCCCAACTTGCTTGGAATTTAAGTCTTACTATACAGGCCTTCAGCTTGGTTCTACGAGTATATTTAACAAATAAAAATACTACAGTTTAAAAGTATTTTTTTTTAAAGTAATTATCCATATTTTTGCAGGTCTGTTTAAGTTCATGCCAGTAGCATGAAGGTTTGACAATTCTGTAGTAGGAATTCTGTTGCCTGTCTAGGTTGGAGGTGACCTGCAGGCCAGGCATCAGTGCTGGGCAGGGAATGTAGGTGCTATTCTAAAACAGCCCATGCCAGCATCCATACATGGCCACACACACTTCCTATACCCCCAGGTTTGTTACTTTATAATTAGGAATCAGTGAAAGTAATTTGGGTTGTTTTGAAGTGACTCAGATAGAGCCAGTGTGGTGTAGTGGTTAAGAGCAGGGGACTGAGACTTAGACGATCTGGGTTCTAGTCCCCGCTCAGCCATGGAGCCAACTGGGTGACTTTGGGCCAGTCACAGTCTCTCAGCCCAACCTACCTCACAGGGTTGTTGTTGTGGGGATAAGATGGAGGAGGAGAATGATGTAAGCTGCTTTGAGCCCTTTGCAGGAAAAAGGCAGGATATAAATCACAATATAAATAAATAAATAAAAATAAATAATAGTAGAATACAAAATTCTGCAATAACATTGGAGTATTTTCCTTACTGGTAGTTTGAGGTGGTAGGAAAGCAAAGAACACTATAGAACTCCCTCATAGTGCTTTGTTTTTATAGACCAGAGATGCAAAATGAGACATCACATAAGCAGTCACTGAGATCACATTTTTGTTTTGCATGTCTGCTGTACAACTGAATGTTTGTTAACTATGAGCTGCTTTGAGTAGTATGTGATAAACGTTATCTCTTGCCAAGTAAATTCAGTCTTTGTTTTCCTTGCATGGCACATGGCCTTGCATTAGGGATTTGCAAGAATGTTTGGGGTACCCTTGTTTGTGATCTGGTTCCTCTCTCAAGTCTTCCATCTTTCACAGGGCCACCAACCAGCCTTTTCCAGCCTCCCCGTCGCCCTGGTCTGGGAACAGTTGGGAAGCCAATTCGTCTCTTAGCTAATCATTTCCAAGTGCAGATCCCTAAAATTGATGTTTATCATTATGATGTGGATATCAAACCAGAAAAGCGTCCTCGAAGGGTGAACAGGTAAGGATTAACTGGGTAGGTTCAGACCTATTTTTAGCAACTATCTTTTTACTAGTTACAGTTTTGAATTTATGTTGTATTAGGATACTAAAATTGTATATACCATTCAATAATTCTGCCCTTCCTTCCCAACAACAGATTGACGACAATCTGAAACTACAGGAACCACTTGTTGTTAGAATATTTATCCCAATTAATTGGAATAATATATATATTTGCTGATAAACATACTAATTCTGACTCTCTAGGCAGCTTGAATTGTATATAAACACAGTTTTAACAGACTGGATCTTGGCTGTTGTTTGTGAGCCGCTAATTTTGTCCGATTTCAGTTCTAAACTCTACTGAACTTGCAACACTTTCCAGGGAAGTCGTGGATACCATGGTGAGGCACTTCAAGATGCAGATATTTGGGGATCGGCAGCCTGGCTATGATGGCAAAAGGAACATGTACACTGCACATCCTCTGCCTATTGGCCGGGATAGGGTAAGTGATCTTCAGAAAATGCTTTGTTCTATCCAGGGGTCCAGCGTCTGGGCAAGAGCAGTAAAGAGCCCAGATGCTCTGCTTGCACGTACTGCATCGTTACCAAGGCCTTTTGGATACAGGGAGGAAACTAATAAAGGAAGAGGGAAACAGTCCAGGGATTGAGAAAGCAAACCATGATTTGTTCAGTTGTTTGCTAGACAAACCTTGTCTAGGCTCAACAGGCTATCAGTCAGTGTTATGTGTGAACCAGGCCACTGATGTGAGGAGAGGACTTGTTAGAGAGCATGTCTAGCTTTCTGGAGAGGGCCGTTCACATACCTGACTTGTAATATCCTAAGCTAAACAACGCATTAAAGGTCACTTAATTCATATGTGAGCTACAGCTTGTGTACTTCCAGGAACTAGTGATCTGCTGGTCTGTGTGCAATAAAATAACCTTAAAGATCATTACTGCACTGTGGGGCCAGGATTAGTGTGCAATTCCCATATCTCTCTGTGGAGTGCTTTAAACTTTTAGGGTGTATATAAAGAAAAAAATTCAGAGACAATACAGTGCTGTGCAGGCAAGGGTCAGTGGAGTGCAGATTGCGCTCTTGGAGAATTTCAGTCTCAGCATAGCAGTAGTGCAATTAAGGCTAGACGTGGAGATGGAAGTCTAGGACTCTGCACCCAGGGGCGCTGAGAAAGTGGCAGGGGATCAAGGCATGGGCATGTCTTTTTAAAAAAATCATGTGGGTGGGTGCTAACCTGCCATGTACATTGTTAGAAATGATTGTTTATACACACACACACACACACACACACACACACCTTTTCCACAATGAAGTAGGCCATGGGCATGTCTTTTTAAAAAAATCATGTGGGTGGGTGCTAACCTGCCATGTACATTGTTAGAAATGATTGTTTATATATATACCTTTTCCACAATGAAGTAGGCCATATCACCAGGAAATGTTTTTACAGCAGGACAGCAGAATCAAAGACCATTTTATGCCAGTTGTCAAGATGGTACTTTTGATTTAAAAGGGAAAAGTGCATATAGAGCATTTTTTAATATCAAGGTTCACAAACAGGTTTGTTTTTGTTGTTGTTGCCCTAGCATTAAGACAGTAGAAGAGGATGTAAAGTGTGAGGTGGTAAGCGGATGGAGAAAATAAATGTTAGTTGTCTGCTTAACAGCCAAAGTAATGCACATGACCATCTAAAAAGGTTAGGGAACTTAAAACCATGCTTCCTGAGTCTAAAAGTATCCATCTGAACCATACTGCCTCAGTATCAGCTGTATCAATGGAATGGGGCTTCCGAGGCTTCGGCAAATGGGGCAGCATAGAAGCCTTCTAAATAAATAAATAAACAAACAAACAAACAAATAAATAAAATCACTGACTTTTATCATTGACTTTTCAGGTGGATATGGAGGTCACACTCCCAGGTGAAGGGAAAGACCAAACTTTTAAAGTGTCTGTTCAGTGGGTGTCTGTGGTCAGCCTTCAGCTGCTCCTGGAAGCCCTGGCTGGTCATCTGAATGAAGTCCCAGAAGATTCTGTACAAGCACTGGATGTCATCACCCGGCACCTTCCTTCAATGAGGTGAGATCCCACAATCTGTTCTCAGACTGCTTACCTGAAGCTAGGTAGACTGCCTTGTGTGGGTGCTCATCCGAATTTTCCGCTGGTCTTCCTGAAATACTAAGTGAACAGGTAAGCCATTTTTCTGTGTACAGAATCTGTTAGTGAACAGGCAAAACTTCTATCTATTTTTCTTTCAGAATAGACTTAGGAAGGAAGAGTGCAGTTCACTCTATACAGCCGGGTCTTACCTTTCTTGTTCATAAACTATAATATTGGTAGAATGCTTCTTAAAGAAACATATCACAATCCAGTTCTCTAAGTGCCTATTTTTATGTAACAAAAATGGCACTGTCCACTCGGAGGAGGGAGAAGAGAAGCACAGGTCTGTAGCAATACCAAAAGCTATTTAGGAGAAATCTGCAAAATAGCCCTGTAAGGAATGAAAATGCTGAGTAAACACAGAATGCTGATTGACTGTTGAGGGCTGAGAGTGGGAAACGAGGAGGAGGAACGGAGTCTTCCAAAAGAGGGCATGGCTGGCTGGTGGGGACACTGAACAGGTGGAATTCACACTGCATCATCTTATTGTAAGTCCCACTTGCTTAATGCTCTCTTAAAAAACCCAAATGGGACCCAAAAATGGGACCCAGAAAACCATAGAATTTATTTATAAAAAATTGTGCATTTATTTTTACATATTCAAACTTCGGTCACCTTCCAAGTACCCTCCGTTGATGCAATACACCTATTGAAATGACTTTTTTCACTGCTCAAAACTGGTTTTGAACTCATTGATTTTGATGCCTTTTAGTGCTTCTGCTGTTTTTTTTTTTTTTTCATCTCTTCCATGTCGGCAAAACGTTTCCCTTTGAGGACTTTTTTCATCCAGGGAAACAAAAGAAGTTGCATGGGACGAGATTGGGTGAATAGGGAGGGTGGGGCACAAGGGTCATGCCGTTTTTGGACAAAAAACCCACTTAATGCCTCAGCATAGTGTGGGCAGGTGTGTTGTCATGGTGGAAGAACCAGTCACCTCTTTGCTAAAACTTGGAACATTTCTTCCACAACTTGTGGTGCAACCTTCTCAAAACTTTCCTAGAAGACTCACCTAGCAGGGGAAGCCTGTACTACAGGGGGCCCATCCTCTAGAAGATAATTCCAGGGTTTTTGGGTCTTCCCCAGTATTATCTTAAAGTTATTTCTGTATGGTCCAGTAGCTTGAAAGCTGTCTGGACAGTGAACACTTTATATGTAATATGTTGTACAAAAATCCTCAAATTTTCTAAGGAAATCAAAATGGATGCTCTCCTGATCTCACCAGGTACACCCCAGTGGGCCGTTCCTTCTTCTCTCCCCCTGAAGGATACTATCACCCCCTGGGAGGAGGTCGGGAGGTCTGGTTTGGCTTCCACCAGTCTGTCAGGCCTGCAATGTGGAACATGATGCTCAACATAGATGGTATGGAAGAACACATTTACTTAAATTATCTCCAATCTCTTACCAACTTTTCCTTAGTATCTATTTTTCTCCCTGCTTCAGTATCAGCAACTGCTTTCTACCGTGCCCAGCCTATTATTGAATTCATGTGTGAGGTCCTGGATATTCAGAACATCAATGAACAAACAAAACCACTTACAGATTCCCAGCGTGTAAAATTTACCAAAGAAATCAGAGGTAAATCTTCAAATCAAATGTTTTTTACTTATGCTTAATTATTGTAAGTAAAGAGCTTGATTTCTTCTGATGTGTTTCTGTATTTGGAAAAATACACTATAGACTGGACCATTATAACAATTTTCTAAGGTATTTTTCTTATTCATTCTTCTCACTTAAGTTGTAGGTCTCTTTCCCATGAGACTTAGTTTAAGTGATTTTTGGAAATATTCAGATCTTATAATTAGGCTGGCTTTTGATAACCAGGATTAAGCTTTTAATAGATGAGATATCTCAGCATATTCTGATCCTTGTTTGAGAATCCTGTCCTTCTTGAGTTCTAGATATTAACAGGCTAAATAAGCAGACTTCACATCAACTCTGCAATGTCTGTAGTAACTGTACTCACATAAAGAGCAGAAATTTTAGCCAGAAGTCCCCTGTAAAACCCTGAAGTTGTGTTCATTTGTGTGCTTAGTTTTACCCCCTTTTCCTTGGATTTGCAGGTCTGAAAGTAGAGGTTACTCACTGTGGTCAGATGAAGAGAAAATACAGAGTTTGCAATGTTACTAGGCGGCCAGCCAGCCATCAGACGTATGTATGCCCATTCTTTTCTTTTAAGAATGAGACTTTCATGTCTTTGTCTACTGAAAACTTGTTCATTCTAATGAATACCCATCCACAAGTGACTTGGCATTTATACCTTCAAGTGACTTAGTATTTATTATCTCCCTGTCTTGGAAAGACATTTTATAAACTGGACTACATGAAAATCTAGCATAAATAATTATATTTCCATTATATATGTGCGAACAACATTTCCGAGAACCCTGCAAAAAACTGTGCAGTGGTACATGCAGTTGAACAGCCGCCCTCCCCAACTTGAGCACCCAAAATGAGTGACAGCTAAAAACCAGTGCTCAAAATAGCCAGGGCATAGATACCATGCACAGCAAATCAAACTGCCTTCCAAAAAACTGAATGAACAGGACAGACTTCCGTGGTAATAGCCAATATTCCAAGCAGATATTGGGCAGAGGGTCTGTAATCCGTAAATACAGTATACTAGACAAGGCCTTCTTTTTTGGGAAGCATCTAGCTAACAGCAGGCCTGGATAAAGGCCTGTTGATCTCAGCTGCTGGGCAGGCTTGTCTGGGGGTAGGTGGTCCTTCATGGTAGGCAACAAATCCATGGCCAGCTTGTGGATTTTAGCTCCTTTGCACCATCCAAAAGACATACTGAAATCAACACTATGCATCTAGCATACGGCACTATACCTTCCCCATTTATCAAATATCTGGAATATTAATCTGTAGGTCACAAATTATCTTTCTTATATAGCTTCAGCAAGAGCACAATGCAATAGAGCTCTTACTAGTTATTCTCATATGAAAATGCTTTGCTTTTGAGAATGAATCACGCATATATTTTCCCTTACAGGTTTCCTCTGCAGCTGGAAAATGGGCAGGCTATGGAGTGTACAGTAGCTCAGTATTTTAAACAGAAGTACAGTCTGCAGCTGAAATACCCTCATCTTCCATGCCTACAAGTAGGGCAGGAGCAGAAACATACATATTTACCCCTTGAGGTAAAAGGCCTCAGCAGTTCATCTTCTCAGTTTTGTTGTGTTGCACTACGCTTCTTTACATGCTTTTTTCTGATCCTAGGTATGTAACATAGTAGCTGGCCAGCGTTGTATCAAGAAGCTTACAGACAATCAGACATCAACCATGATCAAAGCAACAGCACGGTCTGCACCTGATAGGCAAGAAGAAATTAGTAGGCTAGTGAGTAACACTGACTTAATCTTACAGGTGTGAGAAGCATCAGAAGGCTGTAACAAACATGGAGGTTATAACGTGCTTATTACAGCAGGCTTTTTCTTGCCAGTGTTCTAAACCACACTCTTGGGCCCCAGTCACTGGGCTTATCCAGTTGGTGAGTTTATGCCCCAAAAGGTGGGATGAAAAATATCACATGCAGCTACATTTTCACCACAGTGTGTAAAATGTTCAGACATCTACAAATGAAAGCAAGAATGGCAGTGACCAAGAAAACAATGCAATCATTTAGCTGTGAGTTGAGCCACACTTGTACAAATAAAATTTTCATGTGAGTTTGTGTGTTCAAGTGGTGCTTTCACTATCTCTAGGTGAAGAGTAACAGCATGGTAGGTGGCCCTGATCCATATCTGAAGGAGTTTGGTATTGTCGTCCATAATGAAATGACAGAGCTGACGGGCAGGGTCTTACCTGCACCAATGTTGCAGTATGGAGGCAGGGTAAGTTCTCTGTAGTTTTCACAAAATAACAGATTGCCTAAATCAGGAATCTTTCCATTACTAGTTGGGTTCCTAGCAGGCCCAATCCCATTTTGACTTAAGACTGGCAACTATTTTAACATTCTGATACTGATAGAATTATGCAGGTAAAATTTCACTAGTCACCAAAAGGCTGCACAAACCTTTCACTTGTACATTAACTTGCAACTTCTTGTAAAATCTGTTGTGGAAGAACAGTGTTCTGCATTTGATCTTTCTTAGAACAAGACTGTTGCCACTCCAAATCAGGGTGTCTGGGATATGAGAGGAAAGCAATTCTATGCTGGCATTGAAATTAAAGTTTGGGCTGTTGCCTGCTTTGCTCCTCAGAAGCAATGCCGGGAAGACTTGTTGAAGTAAGTAGCATCCTACTTTAAGGAGGGTGATATCCTTTTTTTTCAACTGATGTCTGGTGACCCTTAGCTGTAGTCATACTGTACACAGGAATCAGTGAATTGACCAAACAGAAGACACATAAGAATGCACACAACAGAGCAAGCATTTTTGTCAGCTTCTACAAGTGTAATGAAAAGCATTTCCCAACTCCTAGTTAAAAATTGCCCATACAGTTGACTTACTGTCATCTAACAATTCAGATTACAAAAGTAAGAATTGCCTTGCTGGATCATACCAAGATGTATTTAGTCCAATATTTTGTTTTAAAAAGTGACCTGCCCATTTCCTCCAGAATTTGAACTAGGCACAGATGGAGTGTCTGCCTTATTTGCTACCAGCATGTGGTGCTCCAGAGTTATACTGCCAGTACACAAGGAGGTTTCTTTAACTACTACAAGTAATGGTTGTTGAGAGATCCAACTACCAGAAATTGATCTCGTAATTCTTCTTTCAAAGCCATGTCTGCTAGCGACCATTCTATCTTGTAACAGTGAATCTCACAACACTCAAAATATCTGAGAGAGAACCTGGGATTTTAACTGGGATTTCAGTTTGATTACTATACCAGTGACCTAAAAGCCTTCATTTGGGTTTGCAGGAGTTTTACTGATCAGCTGCGCAAAATCTCCAAGGACGCAGGGATGCCAATCCAAGGCCAGCCGTGCTTCTGTAAATATGCCCAGGGTGCAGACAGTGTGGAGCCCATGTTCAAGCACTTGAAACTGACCTACGTTGGACTGCAGCTCATTGTAGTGATTCTTCCTGGAAAGACACCAGTCTATGGTAAAGAGCATGGATTTAGCTTTGGTACTTGACATTAGGGATATGCAAAGAATCCAGCTGTGAAGGTGAGGTGGGGGAATCTGCTGGTTTGGCTTGGCTTGGCTTAGTCCAGTGGATTCTATCAACCCAGCACTGGTGCAGCCTTGCTCTGGAATGAGCTGAGCCGGTATGCAGGCTGAGTTTTTTTTTTTTAAGCCGTGGAAATTTGCACAAATTCTGGTCACAATTTGTGCTAATTCTAGCTGCAATTTGTCCAAATTTCCATTGCTTTAAACAAACAAAAATGTCACTTATGTCCTGCTTTAAAAGTGGAAACCATGCACCTCACCCACACCCCAACTCGGCCTGCTTTCAGCTCTCAACTTGGCAAGGTGTTGAAAGTCCACTGAGCACAAGCTGGCTGAGCTTGTCAGTATTGCTTGTCTATACTTGGCATCACCGTTTCCTTGGCAGTCCAGTAGATTAAAAACTCAGCACTTATGAAGAAAATCACCCAGGCACGTTTGCTACGGGGGATGGTCTTGTGGGGAATGAAATGTTTAATTAAGCAAATCTTTGTCTTTCTTTTCAGCTGAGGTTAAACGTGTTGGGGACACTCTTCTTGGCATGGCTACCCAGTGTGTTCAGGTGAAAAATGTGGTAAAAACCTCTCCACAGACTCTGTCCAACCTCTGTCTGAAGATCAATGCGAAACTTGGCGGGATAAACAATGTGCTTGTACCACATCAGAGGTTAGCTTAAAATTGAACTCCAGCTGGAATCTACTGTAGCAGGCACACTGGTTGATCTTGGTTGAGGAACAAAGTGATGCCGGGTTGCTTAGAATGGGAATAGTTCTATTACAGAGCACTAGAAATTGGTGTTCCAGATTTCTTGCTTAGGAAAATGCAAATCCTTGAGAATCCTAAAAAGTCCACTCGATCCTATCAGGGCTGGCATCCAAATATGTGCACCACATCACTATATGATGAACTAGATCAGTACAGTACAATTTGCCCATACTACTCAATTTTCCTTACAACAACCCATTTTTTTTTAAGATGCGGGGAGGTGGGAAGCAGTATGCAAACAGGTTTATCGTAGTACTTTTTAAATCCACTTGACAGAAATGAAACTTAGCATACTGGGTATTTATGATTTCAAAATGTCTTGTTATTGTTTCAGTCATAATTTTATGATTCGTCGGTTTCATTTTCTTGGACTGTGTGCTTTCCTGAGTTTGTTTTAGTTTAGCGTGGGGTAAAAATACTCTCTCCCCAACAAGTCAGGGATTAATTGGAAACCAAGTTCATGGGTAGGTGAAATAGGGAGCAGCAATGTGATATTGAATAATTAATTTCATTCAGAGAAAACTTTGACTGTCTGAAGCAATTGTTTGGGGCTCATTTGTTTTATTCAGAGGAGCAGTGGGTGCTTCAGCATGCAGCATTTTGAGTCTCAGAGGGCCAGATCTACGACTTAAGGGAGTGCCCCTTTAGCTCAAGAGTTGAAGTGGCCCTTGTAGGTTCCAGGAAGGGTGGGGGACAGAGGGTCATGCTTCTGGGCATTAAGGTCATTTTGAGAAGGAAGAGTCATGGTAGTGGCCTTTAGATTAGCTGCTTATGCAGGAGTTGGGGGTACGTAATGCAACTTGTGACAAGGTAAGGCTGCCAAGTAAGTTGCAGATTGGCAGCCTCCTGCCTGGGCAGCGCTGGCTTTACGCTTACCCACATGAAGCACTTGCAGTCACTCGGTGTCAGAATTGCTCCCTGTGCGAGAAAGTTAAATCTTTTGCTCGTCAATGATCCTGAAGCAGCCAAAGCCTTTGCTTTACCAAGAGGTGAGAAGGAGAGAGAATAGGAGCAAAAGCTGTGCATAAGAAAGGGGGTGGGTGCAGGCGAGGCCCCGCCCACCTCTTGCATGTGGCTTTGCAGGGACATCACTCCTGCTCCATACGGAGCAATTTTGCATTAATACATTCAGAAATGTAATGAGGGGGTGTGAAGGTGGTTACCCTTTCTTGGTTCCTGAGTGAAACGCTTTTTCTGTTGGCTTGAACAGGCCCTCCGTATTCCAGCAGCCAGTGATCTTTCTTGGAGCAGATGTCACTCACCCACCTGCTGGGGATGGGAAAAAGCCTTCCATCGCTGCTGTAGTAGGCAGCATGGATGGTCACCCGAGCCGCTACTGTGCGACAGTGCGCGTGCAGACGTCCCGCCAGGAAACCTCCCAGGAGCTGCTGTACAGTCAGGAAGTGATCCAGGATCTGACCAACATGGTGCGAGAGCTGCTGATCCAGTTTTATAAGTCTACCCGCTTCAAACCCACGCGAATCATCTACTATAGGGGAGGTGTGTCAGAAGGGCAGATGAAACAGGTACTGGTCTAACCATCTTTAAGCTGAATGGGGGTTTCACGTCCCAAACTCGGGGAATGCTAGGAAATGTCACTCATTTTCTGACAAGAAGGGTTAATGACACAAGAGAGCCTGAAAGGAGGTCTGTCCAAAAAAATGCTCTTAATTCAGAATTTGGGCATCCAGAGTGTACCACCAGAGTTGTTTTGGAGATCCCAAGACCTTCTCAGACATGATTTATTAAGTGGCACGCTCCTTGCTGGAGTGCTGCTTTTTATAGGAAAATCCAGCCATAGTTGGAAACATTGTTTAAAATGGTTCCACCCTCGTGATTACTTTGCATTTTTCTCAACTTACGCTTCAAGATACACAGTGCAGGAAACTAACAACCATTTCCCTACCCCAGGGATCACAGGTCTAAATCCTTGTAAAATCATCTAGGTAGCTCCTTCTCCGTTTATTCTTGTTGGAGTAGGCATGTTAATCTTTAGAAAAATATGCTGCTTTCTTCCTTAAGTATAGTCAGTACTTACTGAAATAGCTTAGCGTTGTCCCTGTTATGGTGACCTTCTTCCCCACTTATGTTCTGCCAAAAAAGAGCATGTCTTCATCTTCAGCCTGTATTGGTATCAAAATCTAAAACTTAAATGATTAGAAGAATCTGTCCTTCCATGTAAGCACAGTTAAATACCCTTACCTGTCGCCTCTAAACAAAAATTTGCTTTGAATGTTTTCCCAGATTGTACTGTTTGGAGAATCCAACAAAACATTGGGCTGGACCCAGTTTTAGTCACACTTGGAATAGACCCATTGACAACTTAGTAGCCTGAATGGTTCGAGTGGGTCTCCTCTAAGTGCAACTATATCTGGATCAAAGCCATTGCATCGTACAGTCCAGGTCAGAACTTGATGCCAGGTGCTTAACATTTTAGGTAGCTTGGCCAGAACTAATTGCAATTCGGAAGGCCTGCATCAGCTTGGAAGAAGACTACAGACCAGGAATTACCTACATTGTTGTGCAGAAAAGACATCATACAAGACTCTTCTGTGCTGACAAAACTGAGAGGGTAATTAATCTGGGCTTGGGGGTACATTCTGCCACTCACAGGAGGGTATCAAATAACTCTTCCTAGAAAAAAGAGAAAGTAAGCACATTCCTTAAGGTTACACATTAGTGCCTCTTTACTACAGTGAGATGTAGGGAAGTTCATTTTTTAAGGTATAATGTGATGATGAAATGGTCAGACACATAGAAGGCCACAGTCAGAACTGGAACCCAAGGTCTCACTTCTAGTGCTGTAGCAACTTTTAAGATATAGGAAAACATGGTACAACTCTTTATGGCTTTAATATAACCAGGAATCTCAAAACCTGCAGCTTAGAAGAGCTGCTCTGAAAAACAAAGCTAAAAATGGATGTGTGCCAACCCAGACAAATAACTGATAGAACAGAAATAAATAAAACATCATATTGTACCTTTTGCCAAGGAGCTTATAGACATCACACATGGTTGCTTCCACTGCCCATGTTATATTCACAACAAGAGCAGCTGCAATCACAGACTTCAGCTTCTATCCATATTGCACAGCCGTAGCCAGTACTACTTGATGTGCAGCTTTCTAGCTGATTCCTGAGTCTAAGATGGAGAGCCTGTTCTGTCTGGCAAGTCGCAGAAGGCAAATTTCAAAATGTGAGTCCCTGGACAGGGACCAAGAAGATAAGAATTGTTTGTCTGACACGTGGTGTGTCGCAGGTGATGCTGGTGAGAAGGTGTTCACGGATTTGATGTGTCTTGATAGGTGGGGAAAAGTGGCAATGTTCCAGCAGGCACGACTGTGGACAGCACTATCACACATCCCTCTGAATTCGACTTTTACCTCTGTAGCCATGCAGGAATTCAGGTAATAAGTGGCTTTCTCTGCAGTCTTACCTATGACAGCAGTTATGATTTTGAATGATACTTGATCAGTTTCCTGTTCTACATAATACAGAGCTGTCATGCCGCAGCTGTATTAACATCCGTTAAGCCATTGGAATGTGTGCTGAGGGAAACTGCAAGAGCAGATGGAGTTGTGCTACTTAAGACAGTAGTACAGTCCCATCTTCTTTTGTCCTCAGCGTACAGCCTTCATCATCTTTCTTCCTTGCTTAAAAATCTTAGGAGGAAAAAGGAGGAAACATCTAGAAAGAAGAATGAATAGGTTGGATTGAACTTGGATTACGCACTTTTGAGAGGAGGAGAAAAGGAACTTGGTGGCAGGCACCCAGTCTCCACTTTGATGTACTACATCTCTCTCTCACTCTGAGTAGTGAATTTACTGGCCTTCTTCTCTCCCAGGGAACCAGCCGCCCTTCTCACTATCAAGTCTTGTGGGATGACAACTGTTTCACTGCAGATGAATTGCAGCTGCTGACATACCAGTTGTGCCACACTTATGTTCGGTGTACTCGGTCTGTCTCAATTCCTGCTCCAGCATACTATGCCAGGCTGGTAGCATTTAGGGCAAGATACCATCTTGTGGACAAAGATCACGACAGGTGAGCTGTCCTTGGAGCAGTGAGCGGGCTTTTGTTCAACAAATTGCCCAGTTATTACATTGTATTTTGTATGAATGGCAAGTCATACCAAATCCCTTGCTTTGCTTTGGTCTTTTATCATGGATTCCAGCTGCAAAGAAATAGCTAATTATACAGTATGATCTCCTGCACATATAGTGATCTGACTTGACATTTGGTATTATGTGTGTTTGGAGTTGGACGATGCTCTTGACCTTGCTGAACCAGCAGAATTTGTATAGCTGCTCCAATAAGAAGCAATTTGCATTGTAGTTATGGATTCCATCAGAGCTTGGAAGTGCACTAGAAGAAGATGATAGGGAGAAGGTGCTTCTGCCAAGTTGATCCAGTGTGTATTCTTTAGAATAGAGCCCAATTAAGAATAGAGCCTGATAGAGCCAAGAGCCCTATTAAGCTAGTTCACTGTCTGGTGACTAAAACATATACTGATATAATTGTGGACATCACAATCAGAGGATGTTTTCAGCTTCCATTATGCTTAAATACCTTGGAAGTATCGCTAGGAACAAGCTCACCTATCTTCATCAAACTTTGGGTGGATTTACATGATGCAACAATATACCCTACAAATAAGTTATACACAGTGGGTTGTTTTTGCAAGGATGTACCCAACAAACAAATGGACTTGCTGTGGGCCCCCTTCTTCAGTTCTCCCACAAATATCTCAAAGGACTCTGCAGAAGGACCTGTCTTGTCTCCTCTCCCTCTGTGGACCAGGAGCACTTTGGTATTTGCTGTAGTTTTCCCTCTTCCCCTCTTTAATCAGATACCACTTCTTGTGTTCTCTGAGTTGACAGCCAGTGATAGCTGCTTCAAATTTACTTTATTTTATATCTGTACTGCTCAGAAACTGTCTGAAGTGGCAAATTGACCCATTCACAGTCTATGTGAGACAATGTTCATGTTTGGTCTGTGCTGAACTTTGTCAGCATATACCACTCATGATATTGCCGAGACAAGGCTTCCCATTTTCGACCTGCCCAAGTATATAGCAACAGACATGCCCAGGTCTGACTAAAATAATAGAATTTTACAAAATTATTTATGCACATTTCAGGCACACAAACACAAAAAGTGGCAAACCAGTGACAGCCGCTTGAGCACTTTGTGGGGGATTGGCAGAGGCTGTCAACTCCAGGGTGGCAAAAAGTGATCTCTGAAAAAAGGGAGGGAAAAAACTGCAGTGAACACAAAAAGAGCCGCGGTCAGCAAGGGGGACGCCAACCCAGGGATGGTTGCTTCACCACGCCGCTTGCACATCGGTGGGGCACTTGTCTTTCTGCAAGATTAGCAACTGGCTTTTGATCCTCCCACCCAGTAGCTCAGTAACCTCTGTTCACAACAGAGTCACACCACCCACCCTGCAGGAAGTGGTCTGGGTTCACATAATTTGACAAACCGTTTTGGCTCGTCACCCACAATCAGCTGTCCTGTTGTGTGAACCCAGTCATTGGTAAGTAATGCAAGGCAGTTGTCACAGGCCCAAAAAAGAGTTTCATTTTATTTTTCTGTACTGCCCGGTCGCCACAGCTTTCTAAGTGGTTTAAAACAACTGAGTAGTTCACCTGTGTTTGCTAACCACCTTCTAACTTCCTTTTCTGTTTCTTGCCAGTGCTGAAGGCAGCCATGTTTCTGGACAGAGCAACGGCCGAGACCCTCAAGCACTAGCCAAGGCAGTGCAGATTCACCATGACACGCAGCACACCATGTATTTCGCCTGATGAGAATGCGAGATGATGAGGCAGAAGCACCAGCCCACTTGGGCATGCCACCAACCACTGGTTGCTAGGGCTCAGTTTTATTTCAGGCTGCTCACCACCAGCAGCTTGGGGCAGTTGCACTGAATCAACGTTTGCAGCAACATCTGATACAGACATAATTGAGCCATTTTTATTTTGTGATTTTCCGTCAATAGAAATTTCATAGACAGTCTTTGCATTGGACTGAATTTTTACCTCAAAACGCAAAAGGCTGATCCTCCTAGAATAAATTTTTAAAGGACTTGGCACGAAAGGTTTTTATTGAAATATTTTGCTAACCAGTTTTAAGTTACCTCCGCATCCCCATTAAGCTTATCAAGAAGCTGAATTCCTCCTGGGCTTCTTCATACTGCTTAGTGAGTATCCAGATATGGCAAAACATCATATTCCACGTTCTTCTGTGTGGGGCCATATAGACTTTATAAACAGAACTTTTACCTGTAAACGCCTTTCAACAAGCATTAACTTTCAGAGGTATCGCTGGATTATTATTATTATTATTATTATTATTAATATTATTATTATTGCTTTGTCAGGTTTTCCTAGTTCTCTTTTTGTAAATCTCTCTGCAGTCATGGGCTGCAAAGCATTTGCACTATAACTGCGAATTCAACTTGGTGGTTCTTGTTCTGTGAATGTGTAACATAAGCAGATAGCAATGCCCATTGGCAGGTTTACTATAATGAAATCATAATGGTTACACACAACTGCCACTGCATAGTTCAGAATGCTGAACTGCTTCCCCCTCTAAAGTATGTGGCAAAGTTCTAAAATATTAGTTTTAGGTATTTTTCAGACATTACAAAAGTGCCCATTTTATGCTGCTGTGTTTGATGAATTGAAGTCATTTTTAATACTCTTTTTCATAGAAGGTTTTAACTTTGGCAATAATTTTTTTTTAAATACACTGGCAGTGACTTTTCTAGTTGAATACTTTACATGAGTTACAGCCAGCATTCTGTGTAAATTGACTTATCTTTGCTGAAGAGAAAATTAGTTCTTAAAAAGGATCAGAAAAGGCTCCCTTCATGCTTTTTACAAATGGTTATTTTTAACTGTTTTATATTCACCATTGGTCTGTCTACCCCTTTTTATAAGCTTGGAAAGTGGGTGTTCTATATAGGAAAGGCTTTGCCAATATGTACAGTTGTGTATAGTGTGACAGTAGCAATTGAAGACTTTTACCAGCATTTAAAAACATGGTTTTTCTGAGAATTTAGATTGCCGCATGTACAGCAACACTCAGTAGCATGTGTGATGTGTACATTTTAATGTCGCTTTTGACCCATTTCTATAAATTAGGACTCCTATTTGCTTGGCTCTTGTCCACTAAAATGTGTAATGCAAAAAGCTGGGGGGGGGGACCTGCAGTAGTGTTGCATTGAGACTAGCTTGTGAGTGTTAGCACAAGATGCTTTAAATTCCTAGTTTTTAACTGAGATGATGCCACTGTGAAAGATTGGGATTTTGCCAATAATTGCACTCTAGTCTCCAAAATGAGCAGGTGAGGTTGCAGAATTGTGTGACCTTGAGATCTTTTAGATCCAAACCTCAAGGTCAGCAATATGCTATGCGGTTTCTATTTTTCTTCAGTCTTTTGAAATAAAGCTTGTAGTCTTGGAAAGTTTGTATTTCCCAATAAGGTACTGGGTTACCACTGTACTGGCATATACTGGTACAGTGTTAATCTTCAAGGAGCAGTTTCATAAGCTCCTTCCGGAGCTATATATTGAAAAGGGTGGGCTTACAAAGTTTTCCCTTCCCTGCTCAGAAATAGGAGTGAAGCAAACTCTGCTGTGACACAGTGTGAAAAGGCTTAGATTTTTAAAAACTTGTTCAAGTCTTTCTTTTTTCCTTTAGGAATACCTCACTTGGGTAATAAATAATCAGGATATGTGGGGAGGGAGAGTGACCGCTGCTTCAGTTAGTCTGCTGCTTTTCTTTTCTTTTAATACTTGTTCAGGGAGAAAATGCAAGAATCGAACTCGGCTGGCCCAAACATATGGAGAACCGAGGCACCTTGAAGAGAGTTTAAGCACCTGTTTAGTGTGTAGCATTTTTTATTGCACTAGGTAAGGACATGGCTTGAGAGCGAGGAAGGTACATAAAGAAGCAAAATGCATGCTTTATCATCAAGTAAGCATGTAGCTGTCCTAGCACCAAGCACTCCTAGTGCATATGGAGCCAGAGAGACACCCTTATTTGCTTGTCTGTAGTTAAGACCAACCGTTGTGAACATTGGTCAGATGACACAAGCACGAGTTTTAGAGCTTATGTTTACCATTGGCCATTCTTCCTCAGCAACAGCAGCTTATGTTCTCACATGTGGATCAGGACTACCTGTTCACGAGCAGAGTGGTTTAGCCCCTCCCATGCCATTTTCCCTTCACAAGGAGCACAAAGCGCCACCAAAATTCGACACGAAGCAAAACTGGCTTCTCATTTCTGCTCCAGCATAGCTGCATTTCACAAGGCGAGAGAGTGACCAGTTGTAAACACGCTTTTAAAAGTGCATGCTTAACATAACCATAGATTGGCCGAAACTGGTGCAGACAGGAATCTTAGCAAGCCCTAGAAGGGCTTTTCTGGCTACTTCATTGCAAACCAAGGCCTGGGCTGGATGAAAAAGGCCTTTTATCATAGGGAAAAAACTGTTCTGATCGTTATATTTTTCTTGTGTATTACAGACTGCAGCTATCTTCTAAAGTCTTCTGTATTTAAATATATATATATATATCTATATATATAAGCAGGATTCTTTTTAATGCATTATTGTTGCAGTGAATTTTATCATCCAAAAATGTCTATGGAAAGAAACTTTTTGCCAACTTTTGCACTTTCTTGGATTTTTTTTTTTTTTTTTTGGTCCCCTTTTGGAAATTTTTTTTTGCAAAAAATTTGTTTTTTTTTTTTTTTTGTTTCACGGGTGTTTTTTTTTTTTGGGGTGGGTGGGTGGGTGTTTCAGTGCTGAGGATTTATTGAAGGGGTTGTGTGGGTGGTGGCAGCATCAAAGGTCTTGACAGCAAGACCCAGTTGCAGTAATATCTCTTGACTCTGCTCATCGGAATAAATCCCACTTGTCAGGGGATGAACGGAATCGTTTATGCATGTGTCAATCAAAGGGAAGACGTGCATTCTGTATCTATAGTTCTTAAGGTGTTTGGGATTTTTTAATGTTTTTCCTTTTGTTTCAATAAAGCCTGCTGGCTATTGTTTAACTATATGTTGTGAAAGACTTTCAAATGTAGCAAATTTGGATCTGCTGGGGAGCGGGGGGAGAGTTTTGAAAGGGGAGCAGTTGTTCATAGGGTAGCGAAGGCCTTGTTCTTCTCCTCGGTCCTGTTCTGCATTTTGTGAGCACTTAAGAATTTCTAAAAAGCTTTTGCTCTGTATCGGATGTGTGTGATTGGGAGCGGGGTGGGAGTGTTCCTTGTTCTTCAGGCGAGGGCTTTGGCTTTCCTGGTTCTTTCAAGATGACATCCAAAGAGGCATCGTAACAGGATGCAAAAGGTGTTCCATGTTTGCGTATGACATGTCTCTTCTCCCCCATTCTTCCCTTTATATCAAAAGCCTTGGTCCACACAGTTGGGGCAAAGCCAATCATCCGATAGATTCTTGACAAATCTTCCAACCCCCCCAAACCCCCCTCCTTTGTGGATGTGCTGTAGTTCTTTCCCCCCCTCTTGCTCAATAGCAAGGCAGCTGTTCTACTTTCATTTTCGGAAAGTAGAGCTCAGAGGGCATTGTATCAATACTGTTTCAACTGCAAGGTTTTTTCCCTTGTGCGATTTGAGAAAAAGATCATATGTGAATATCACTAAAGAGTTTCTTTATACCTTGCTATTGACACTTTTGTGATATTTCTATGTCTAGAGCCTGAAACTTGTATGTAAAACTTGTTTGCATTTGTTCATTTTTGAATTCTGATGTATTTTACTTTTGTTTCTATATTGTTAGACTTGTAATGTTTAAATTGTATTTTATTAAAATTGGACTGGATGTATATCTATAGCAATACGAGGTACTTTTCTTTAAAAAAAAAAAAAGGCAAAACAGAACCCCAGTTTTGGGAATGGTGGGATAGTAGCCCCCCACTGCGATATGCTGGCTGTGTATAACTGCAATGTTTTTTTTTTCTTCTCCCCCCCCCCCCCTTTTTTTTTAGCCTGCAGGGATTTTGTGTTCATGTGTCCAAAAAAATAAAGGCATTTGTGTGTCAAATGTTTTTTCTTCATTTGTGTATAATAAAAATAACCTGCAATTTATTTATATTTTGCTTGTAAGAAGAGCATCTTTCTGCGATTTAAAGTCGGGACATGGTTTACTCCGTAACACACTGTGAAAACAGGCTGCATACTATTGAATATAAAGAAGTGGAATTGTCCTCATGCTTCATTGTAGATATTTAAGAACTTGCAGAAATCGAAATATCTAAGCACAAAGTCATAAGCTGGGTAAGAGCAGAGGCCAGTAAGAAGAGGAAACACTAAGTTCAGCTAAACGTAAAACAAGGCATAATGTAGCAAAAACTTTACGTATTCACTGAGGCAATCAGAACTGGGACTGCTTAACCAGGAAAAAACATGGGCACCTAGTCTTCCCTAGTGTGGAGCAATTAAAATGAGCTGTGGGAGCAAAGCGATTCTATGCCTGAGTCTGAGGAAGGAGGGAAAACGTGTCAGTGGCATGGAGCTCTGCGGTTCTAATCGCCACGCATCAAGCGGACAGAAAAAAGGCTACTGAATGTGATTAAAAAGCAGGAGTGTGGAGGAAGAAGAGCCGTGATTTATAAAATGTCATACATGCAATGCAAGCATTTTTCTGCCCATGTGTAAGATGAGAACTTGGGGTTACTTAGGGACAGATTTGTAGCAGTTTCCTCATAGGCAAAAGGAAGTGCTACTTCATGACAATTGACATCCAGAATTCAGTTGCAAGTGGTTGTGATGGCAATTAGCACAGCGGTGCCAGTTTTAAAAGGGGATCAGATGCATGGATGGACCCTGCCAATGGCTACAAGCTCTGAGCCCCATGGGGTTGGGGGGGGGGGGGCGCTCCTGGTTAGCTTCTATGGTTGCCAGGATACTGCCTCTACTAAGCCAGCAGGGCTCTTCAGGAGTGCTCGACTCACAACTACAACCCACACCAAGGCATAAATGTCTTTCAGCACTCGGGCTTTAGTGCATTACCCACATACAGTAATGAGGCATGTATGGCTTTTATTAAATCCACTCCATCTATGTTTTGCAGATTCTCAGCCATTCATTTATGGGATGGGATTTTTGTGGAGATGGGGTACATAAGAATTTTCTTTCTGTTTGCAAATGTGTGTTAGCGCAAATGTGCACGTACATATATCCTCCCCAAAATGCATTTGCCACCAGGAGACACTGTCAAGAGCATCGTATAAGAACTTTAAATAGACAGACAGACAGAGTCCAAATTTGCACAGCTCTGAAAAATGCCATTTGCTACAGAATCTGCAGATGGTAGTGATCTGTCCATGACAGATCCATTCAGTTCTTCCAAGTTCAAGGCTGTGGCTTCCTTTATGGATTCAATCCATGTTACGTTTGGCCTTCCCTTTTGTCTTCTGCCTTCAACTTTCCCAGCACAATCACAGAATAGTCAAGTTGGAAGGGACCAGAAGGCCATGGGGTCCAACCCCCTGCTATTGCAGGTCTCTCAGTTGCACAATCCCATTCAGATGACTGCCCAGATACATATTTTTTAATGTCTCTAGCAAAGGAGAGCCCATGACATCCCCAGGTATTTTATTTATTTATTTATTTAAAACTGTTATATGCCATCACCACATGCCTTGGCAGGTAACTGGTTTCATTGTCTTCTCATGATGTGCCTGAGGTATGACAGTCTCCGTTGTGTCATTTTTGCTTCTAGGGAAAGCTCCGGCTTGATCTGAGCTCGAACCCCTTGTTCATCTTTCTATCAGTCCAGAGTATTTGCGAAGCTCTCCTCCAGCATCATCTTTCTTCACTGTCCAGCTTTCATGCCCATGGATTGTGACTGGGAATACAATAGTTGGGATGATCTTGACCTTGTTCTCCAGTAAAACATCCTTCAATTTGTTCATTTTTTTCTAGTTCCTTCCTTGCTGCCCTGCCACATCTCAGTCATCTTCAAATTCCTTAGCAGCAATCTCACCTTTGAATTGATGACCGAGCTGAGGTACGTGAAATCTTTTACATTTTTTAATTTCTTCATTATTAATAGTAAAGTTCTGTAACTCACCTGTAATTCATCTGTAGTCATGATTTGTTGTAAATCGTTCTGAGACCTTCGATAGCTGCAAATGGTATACAAAAGCAGTAAATAAAACAAAGGTGGTTGTTTTCCTGATAATTCAGCTGCAGTTCTGCTTTTGCACTTTCACCAGAAAGTCATTTCAGGTTATCGCTGCTTTCTGCCAGTAGTGGGGTATCATCTCTATATCTTAAATCAGTGGTGTTTCTGCCAATTTTCACTCCCTTCTCTGACCGCAGTCCAGCTTTCCTTATGTGTTCTGCATGCAGATTGAACAGATAGCGAGATAAAATAGATCGTTATCTGACACCTTTGCCTATGGGAATCTGTCATGAGTACCCTCCTATAATATGTTTGCATGTGGAATGTCTTTAACTTCATTGATATCTCCCCCTCTCTCTTTGTATTTAATGCTGTCACCAAGAATGCAATTCCAGTCTTATGAATTAGCCTTTCCTTCCATGTGTGCCCAAGCTATAAGGCCTGGAGCATCACTTTGCTTGCGTGGGCGATTCATGCAGTGGCCTATGCTGGCTGCATTCATTGCATCTCCTTTCTTGGGGACTGGAATATGCTGAACATTTCCAGTCTGTGGGCCATTGTCTGCTTTCCGTATTTGTTCATATACAGTATTTTTCTTAGGATTCGGACTGATTCATTTTCTGCAGCTTGGAATAGTTCCGTTGGTGTCTTATCTACTCCAGGTGCTTTATTCTTTGCAGGTGCTTTCAGAGCAGTTTCTACTTGGCTTCCTAATATTTCTGGTGGTCCTTCATAGGATTCCACTTTGAAGAAGTCTGCTACCCTTCCATCTCTTCTGTATAGTTCTTCTGTATATCCTTTCCACCATCTCTTTATTTAGTCCTGGTCAGATAGTATGTTCCCTTGTCTTTTAGCATTCCTATTCTAGGTCTGAATTCCCCTTTGATTCCTTGGATCTTCTGGATGAGGTCCTTTGTTTTTCCCCTCTTGTTGCTCTCTTCTATTTCCTTGCACTGGTCATTATAAGAGTTCTTTTTGTCTCTACATAATAGTCACATTCAGAGTTCTGACCCTGTTTCTGTCACCTTTTGCTTGTGCTTCTCACTGTCCATAGCAAATGTTTCTTTCAACATCCAAGCTTTTTTCTTTTGCTATAGGAATTGTCTTTCGGTGTTCTCTTATAATGTCACTGGTTTCAGTCCACAGTTCTTCTCGATCATGGTCAATTAAGTTGAGCAATGCAAATCTGTTCTTTATGTGGACTCTACATTCTTCAGCAATGTTACTTAAGATATTTTGGCACTATGCTTCTGTTGATCTTTTTTAGCTTTACTGATTTTTGAAACTAAGAGCTGATGGCCACTACCAGCACTGTTGGTCAGATTCATGCAAATGTTGTTGTTGTTGTTGTTAGTCGCGAAGTCGTGTCCAACCCATCACAACCCCATGGACAACATTCCTCCGGGCCCTGTCCTGTCCTCCACCATCTCCCGGAGTCCACCCAAGCTCACACCAACTGCTTCAGTGACTCCATCCAGCCACCTCATTCTCGGCCGTCGTCTTCTTCTTTTGCCATCTATTGTTCCCAGCATTAGGCTCTTCTCCAGGGAGTCCTT